CGTCGTCCTCGTAGCTCGGACGAGGCGAGTGGTTTAGGGAATGATGGCGGCTGTGTGAGGTTTTATTTAGGCTAGGGTTTTTGGTTTTTATTCTCTGGTAGGGAAGGAAGAAGAAGAAGATGGCGGCGGTTTCGTTCGAAGAAGAGAGATGAGGGACGAGAGACGAGAGCGGCGGCGGATTTGGATCGGGGTTAGGGTTTTTGGTTGGTTCTGGAGAGGACGAGAGAATCGGCCGAGAGAGAGAGAGGGAGAGTGGAGGCAGCGGCCTCTTGGTTAGGATAGATTAGGGTTTGCTTAGAGAGGTTTATATACCTCATTAATTACAAATACTAAAATGCCCTTAGGGTTTCTAACAAATTACGTGGCCTTGCCACCGTCCTTTTGAGTAATTACCAAGCTGCCCTCCCCCCATCTCTACACTAAAACGAGAAACCAAAAATAAATTCTGCAGGAGGGGGTTCGAACCCGCGTCCTCGGGTCAAAGACGCACCGATTAGTAGGCCAACCAGTTGGGCTGCTGGCCCATCATCCGTCAATTTAACCTTTCCGCTTAATTTTATTCCTTCAAAATCCTTAATACGAAATGTAGAATTGCGGATTAAGTTTATCTCGTTTTCTTCAATACGTCACAATACTTCCTAATAACTAAAATACTTGCATCTATCGTCATAACCTCATGTTAATCTAAATGCATTTTTATTATTAACAAAATTATAATACGAAAATCATGATCAGTGGAACGTGATTACAATAAATTATCAAAGTTCTAACGAACTACGTGGACTTTGATCCCGTCTTACGGGTACGTAGGCAACCGATAAGGTTCGAGTCCAACTAACCAATTAACTTTATCTTTTACGTCAGTGGACGTATAATTAAATTACAATTAATACGATTTAATTTCTTAAATAGTCCAGTGGGACCCTAAAAATTGAAAAATTATTACTAAAAACACACCCAATTAATATAAAACTTATCAAACTTAAGTAGTACCGATTTAGGGCGTTGTGGGGGTGTTGCTTAACTTCCCCACACGTAACCGTACTCCCGAACCCATATCTCTTAACTGCAGACCATATCTCGGTTCTGACCCTAAGGTTAGAGCCGACCGAAGAGTGTTCGATCCACTCCAAATAAGATCGATGGCGACTCCCAAAAATGCCGACGCGACGACATTCGGACCCCCCCGGACGGGACGGTTGCGACAGTGCTCTTGTCAGAAGTATCAGGGTAGAGGGATACCATGTTCCCATGCAATGGCTGTAATCAAGCACAGGAGCAAAGACCCTCGTCATTTCGTCAGTCCGTTCTTCAACATTGACTCACAAAAGAGCAGTTATCGTACTAGTTTCCATGCATTGCCGGATGAAGCTTACTGGCCAGTTTATGAGGGTATGGTCATCATTCCCACCAATTGGTCTTAGGCGGGTAACAGGTCGCCCGCGGGTAAAAAGGATTCCAAATGAAATGGATCAAAGTGGAAGACCACCGCGAGGGCCAAGGCGGTGTTCCATATGCAAAGTACCCGGTCATGATAAACGAAAATGTCCCGGACCAATTGGTCCTCAAAATGCAGGGCCCGATGTGGTGAACCCGGATAATGGCGCTTAGATTGATTTCATGCGTTTGTTCCATCTTTGTGTATTAATTTCAATGGTTACTCTACTTGTATGTTGTGTGCTTAAATGACATTGGAGATTTGCACAAAACACAAACTTTGGTGCAATTTCCCATCTTTTTGAATAAAACACATCACGAACACAAACACACTACATGAAAAAACTAAAAAAAAAACTTCAACTAAAAACACCATTGTTCAACTTAATTTAAACAAAACATAACTTGAAATAAACACAACTTGTCACACTCATGTATTATTTGACGATTTCCCTCTGTTTCCTTGTGTGATGGGCGACTGGTCCACCGGGTGTAGCTGATGGTGGAACGGGTGGCAGATTCCTATTCGCCGTAGAAGGGAGATCCTCCGTGCTATGGCGCCTCGGTTCCGTGATAGGTGGCCCCTCCGTCTGCGGTCGAGGGCTATCCATGCTCATACGGTGGGGAGTGGATTGCCATTGTTGTTGCCATTGTTGTTGTGGTCGATTCCAAGGTGAGAAGTCTTGGTGAGGACTGGATTGCCATTGTTTTTGCCATTGTTGTTGTGGTCGCTGCAGAGGTGAGTAGTCTTGGTGGGGACTTGAGTATGAACCCTCGGCCCAAGTTGCTGAGGATGTGCCATCATGAAATGTACTTGGCCGTTGTTCATACTCAAAGGTGGGCCGGAGATTGTATTGGAAACTCGATCGCGGATCATACTAGCTTCCGGGCGTGGGATCGTAGTGAGTACTCCCCCCTTCACCGCTGCACACCTCCAAAGGAGTAGGCGCCTTCCACGTCGCAATCGGCTTGATCTCCGGCACGTGAGTTCGATCCCTTGTAGCTTTGTTTGGCCTTCTATGGACCGGAGGAGGCACCGGCTCAACATCATGCGTCACCGGCGGCAGTCTCACTGGAGGAACTTGAGGGTATCTATGATGGTCACGTGCGCGCGCTCGCATACAGCCAAGGAGATTGTTCGCTATCCTTCGAATGAGCCCCACCTCTCGTACCGCCGCCAAATGATCTGCCGTCCGCGCGAGGTCGTGGATTCGCTCGATGCCATCAACCTTAATCGAAGAAAATAACAAAGTTAGCCATTTAAAAAATAATGCACCGCATGACTAAATAAATAAAAAAATAATTACTTACCAAAGCTTCGTCCGCCGCTCCTTCGGGGGTCATGTAACGAACAGATTGTCTTCGGTAGGTTTCCAGGTATGGGTCATGGTAGCCCATCCGTGCCACATGAGATGCCGTCACAATATCCTGATCTTGCCTAACATTCCACAGGCGGATCAAGTTTTCATACTCCTCCAGCCAATTAGTAGGTCCTTGTCAACCATCTTTCCCGTGGTACCCCTTCTGGCTCTCTGGGACATCCAATGGTATGCATTGCTCACGTCCAAATTGTCGTAGACATCGATCCGGCAAGTGCCACTCCACTATATGGTGGCAGATTAGTGGAACTCGGGTGCACCATTGACCGGGATGTAACGGGAATTTGTGAACGTGATGCGCAACAATCCGTTCTGGATACGGATCGAACTTAAGCTACAAAGGTTTATAAAAAAAAGCCATTAATCAACATAATAATATAAGTTAAAAAAGTAGGTTTTAATAGCGTATTATGATGCTCACCTCTGCTTCCCAAAGGCGATCAAGCCTCCTACGATACTCCTCCAACTTATGTGCTCCTAGGTTGTCGCATGTTTTTTCACCAAGCCACCTATTCAATCCAAATAGTATGGAGTGTTAATACATAATACCCAATTCGTTATAAAATACCCAATTAGTAAAAAATTGTGAGAACTATGAGTGGGATAGAAAACATTTACCTACAACCATAAGCTTCATGTCGTAGGGGATGGTCGGGACCCCATTCCTTGTCGGGTTCAACCTTCGGCGCAATCCATGGCAAATTCTCCCAAGCCCAAAATTGGACGATGAACATGGCCCCATCAATCTCCTTCACCGCTCTCGCACTAGCATTACATAGGGATCGGTAGAGATGAGCTAGGCAAGCATATGCCCAGCTCAGGTTTCCCATATCATCCCAACTACCAAGTATGATCTTCAACCATGAATTGCTGATTAGGTTGTTGGATTTCTTGGGGAAGAAAACTCCTCCGATCATGCCGAGGATGTAGATACGTGCATAAATGTCTTTATCACGCTCTGAACTTTCCTCCGTGAGGGGAATGCCTCCGAACTCAGGGTTGTGCTTACGCCTGATCTCCGCTGTCAACCACGTGATGGATACTTGGCCCTTGGACAATGGTGGATGACCATCCGCATCGTGATCTCCCTTCTCTGGCGGACACAACCCGGTGACCGTCCATATAAAATGTTGCCAACCACTCATATTGGCAACAACTTTAGGTGGTGGCGTAGAGTCCACACAAACAACATCACCATCGATGGGGAGATCGGTTAGGATGGCGATGTCCTTAAGTGTGATGGTGCACTCGCCTTCACGAAAATTGAAGCAGTGTGTCTCCTTTCGCCATCTCTCTACCATCGCCGTGATGAGTTGGTGGTTGATCTTGATTCCATTGAAATGCCTAATCGAATCCAATCTTGCCCTTTTTAGAAAGGGCAAGATGACGTCGTTCCATTCAAGCACATTCGTTGTGCCCCTATAGCGGACTATATGGTATGCATCCAAGAGAAGAATTTAAATTTCACTATAAGTTGATGATTTATACATATATAAATATATTATAAGATACAATTTATATATAAATCAAGGTTGTTTTAGAGAAATATACATTATCTAATAAACATTTATTTTAACATAACTAAAATAATTTTCTAAGATGTAATATTAATTAAATCAAGCGGTTTTATAGAAATATACATTAGCTAATTAAATATTAATTTTAACATAACTAAATAATATTATAAGATGCAATATTAATTAAATCAAGGTTGTTATAGAGAAATATACATTATATAATAAACATTAATATTAACATAACTAAAATTATATTAAAAGATGCAATATTAATTAAAGCAAGGTTGTTTTAGAGAAATATACATTATCTAATAAACATTAATATTAACATAACTATAATAATATTCGAAATTTAAGTATAATGATTTTTGTACACATACACATAAAATCAAATATATTATTTTGTTAATCGTATTGATTATTTTCAATAATTTAAAGCAATACAAGTACACTCGTAAGACTCTTAGGAGAGGTATACATCTCCTTAGAAACACAGTTTTTTTGACAGAAAAAGGGGGGATCCGAGGATCGCTTAGAACTCGATTTTCCCAGGTCATGGGGGGATCCGAGGATCGCTTAGAACCCGATTTTCCCAGGTCATGGGGGGATCATGATGATCGCTTAAGTCCCCATTTCCTTATACATGCATTTCTTTATAAAGAGTCTAAATAAGTGTTGTATTGTATTGATTTAAATTATTGAAAATAATCAATACGATTAACAATTAAGTAAATTATTGTACAAACAAATAAATTACTTTAACTAAATACAAATTACAAGTGATGATAACTAATATGTACCTTGTGGTCGTCCCAAACGTCTCTTGAACGATAATTTGCTTGATCGTATAAAACTGTCGGATCAATCGGTCCTTGATCAACATAATATCGTTGATTGAAAATATCAACATCCGGCCCAACCTACGATAGCATAACAATAACATAAATTATTAGTATATAAATTAAATAAATCATTATAACAACAACAACAACAATTGGGAAAAATGAGTACATACCGTTTGATAATCATCATAAAAAAATGCCATCTTCTTGAGCGAAATCGGCCATTCTCTCGGAATCCGGACAGAGGTTCTACGGTTTTTTAGTGAAAACCAAAGAAAAAGTTTTTTGGAGGCAGAGAGGGGGGAATGTGGTTGGTGGGTAGGGGGGTGGGTAGAGAGAAGTTAGAGGGAGAGAGGGGGGAATGTGGTTGGTGTGCAGAAAAATGAAGGGGAGGGGGGGTTTTTATAGGTGAGAAACCGCGTGGGGGAGGGCCGGTTCAGTCATTTTACCCCACCGAAAACCGCGCCTCCAGCACGCGGTTTGCGTTTCCCAACAGTCAAACCACGCCTCGGGGGAGCAGTTTCCGTGGGCGACGCGGATCGCTGAGTTGGCACGCGTTTTGGCCGTCAGATCGCTCCTCGAACGGGCGGTTTGATGCACCGCCACGTGGCCACGCGGTTTGACAGCCATGCAAAGTCAAACCGCGCCTTGGAGGCGCATTTTGTTCTATAACCGCTGCCTGGAGGCGCGGTTTGTTATAAACGATGGTATTTTTGCAAATTATTTGGAGTGGGTGGTATTATTGTAATTTTTTTTAAAACATTGGTAGTTTTGGATTTTTTCCCACGTTGTGTACTTGGCTTCCTCTACAAACCCCGCTTCCCGCAACTTCTCCACCTCCTTTCTGAATGCCTCCTCTTTTTCTAACGAGATCGGGCGCCTCTTTTGTTGGACGGGGCGCACGCCCTTTGCTATTGCCAGGCGATGCTCCGCAACTTCCACCTTTACCCTAGGCATCTCTTTCACACTCCATGCAAACAAATCCGCAAATTCCTTCAACAAGCGAACCAGGGGGTGGTGGCAAGGCAACCTCTTCTTTAGGGAAGGCGCCCTCTAGCTCTTGCTCCGCGACGGGCGCCTTTGCTTGGGCCTCCCGCGCCACGAACGTCCGATGTGCCCTCTCGTCACCTTTCTTCACGAACTCGGTTAGCATTCCTCTATCCACTAACCCTTGGATCTTGGTTTTTAACTAGTAGCAATCTGCGGTGTGATGCCCTCTCTCACAGTGGAATTCGTAATATCTATCGAGATTTTGCTCGTTTGGGCGCCTTCTCATGGGTCCTGGTCGCCTCAAGTGGTACCCCTTGTCCTTTACGTATTGCAACACGTTCTTTAGCGTGTCGTTGAGCTCTCTGAAGTTCCCTGCGCTCTTCTACATAGGTCTTGGGTTCTCCATTCGACGCGCAGGAAACACATTTGTTGTCACCGGCGGCACGCGTGGCGCGCGATAACCTTCGCTTTCCTCAGCCTTCCCCTTTCTCCTGTCAAATCGGCAAGCCGCAAGTGTTTCCTCCCGCATAACGACCTTCTTCGAGAGCGCCCGACACAACTCTTCACTGGTCGTGCATTCGTCTTGACAACACCCCAGCACCGGAGGCTTAACATCCTTCACCGCCATAGCCACCGACATCCATCGCTCGTAAAACTACCTAAGTGGTTCGTTCTCCCTCTGGCAAACTTTGAATAGGGCGTTTATAGTGAGGGTCCTGCGCTTCCGACTCGCGAACTTTGACAGTAACAGGGAAGCGAAGTGCTCAAAGTAATCGATACGTCCTTCCTCTAACTGGTGATACCAATCCAACACCACCCCTATGAATGTGGAGGGGAACGCACGGCACATCGTGGCGTCGTTGCTGATGTACAATTGCATTTCCGTGAAATAATTGTTCAAGTGGTCCTCCCCAACTCTTCTGTGCGCGCCTCTCCGCCCAGCCATTGTAATCGTCATAGTCCGACTCCAAGTGTCGAGTCAAGTGCCCCATCTCTTCCGTGCACCTCGCGAGGGTGGACGCTCCTTCCCCGTCGTCGTCTCGCTCCTCAAACTCTTTCTTCAAGATCTCAAGGGCCTGATCCAGGTGTTCGATGATTTGAATCAACGCCTCCTTGGTGAGTGGGGCGCCTTCCATCTGTGCGCTCTCCTCAACGCGCGGACTCACCCTTCAGTCGTGCGCTTCTGCCTCCCTTGATCCATCCGTTCCCCGCTCGTGCAACTCCGGACCTCCTTCCTTCTTTCCAGACTCGGGAGCCTCCATGCTTTCTTGCGGTTATATGCCCCTACCTGGCGCGCCAATTGTTTATGCCCCACAACCCTCCTCTTCTCGTCACGCACCTCGCTTCTTACGGCCCTTCCCGCACGCGCACTTCCGCCTGCACACACAAGCGCCTAGCGGACTAGATAGGTCCGTTAGCACTCCGACGCCCAAGTGAGAATCCTTACTCTGGGGAGAGAAGTGGAGAACAGTTCTAGTAAGAGAAACAAAAACTGAGTAAATGAGGTTTACCTAATTCACTATTTATACCCGGGGCGAGATCGACCGGTATCCGTCGCTCTCGCCTCTTGTCAGGTTTGCAATAAATGCCTCGTACAGCCCCTGCGCATGCGCCTCGTCCACCTGACACCTTCGTCATTAGGAGGCGCATGACATCATGTGGCCACCTTTTCGTACACTTCCGACCGTTGGGTGTCTTTTGTCCCATGCGCCCCTTTCCAGGTGTCCGGTCCCACCTGTCCCGCGCGCTACCTTGGTCATTTGGGCCTTTTACCGCGCGCCCTCAGGCCCACGGCTCTTGCTCCTGTGGCTTCCTTGGTTTTCTCTGGCTGGGCCCTGGATGGCCCATGCCTATGCCACCCCACTGATCTTCCTTGGGCCTTCCCAATTGGGTTGCCCCTTTGGCCCACACTTATTCCCCTAACAGAATTCCATCCAGTCTCCCTCTTTGCTCATCACAGCTCGCCACAGTCTGATCTAATTTTTTTTGGTACATTTAATCTAAAAGCCAAATTGCCCATATTCGCCCTGACTTTACTTCTTTGATCGTCGTCGTATCTCTGTCTTGCGCTGTGGTGAAACAACTTCTTTGATGCTCTTCCTCTCTCCCACTGTGGCTCTCTCTCTGCTCCATCCCGCTCGGCTATTGTCTCATCGGTATTCATGGATTCCGATGGTGTGCCGGTCATCAACAATGTTGAATTGACTTTCCAAATAAAAAAAATGAAAAACTAAACTGGAACTAATCCCCGTCCTCTCCTGAACCCTTATTCTGTTTCTCTCCAATCAAATTGCGGTTGTGATAACGATGTATTTGCACATGTTTGCACCCTTAGGTCTTATCCGTTTGCGGCTAGTAGTCGTATAATTTTTGCCCGTTTTACGCTGGGTTGTGCTACTTTGTCATATTTCAGGTCCTAGACGTCGAAGGAAAGGCTAAGCACGAGATTCGGGGTGTTTGGAGGTCATTCGGTCGAGCTGGGGGCAAAACACGGGCAGGAGGCTTGAAGAACATGGTCGTGTACACAAACAGGCACGCCAGTGTTTTTATGTGCGAGAGCTGAATTGATGGAAAAGCAAAACACGGGCTGGCCTAAAGAAAAACACAGTCGTGTCCATATTTAAGCACGACCGTGTTTTGGCCGACGCGGGCGTGTTTTTAACACGTGGCAAGGGCACGGACGGGCAAAAGCAAAACACGGCCGTGCCCTCGACCGTGTTTTGCCTAGAATAGGGTATTGAGGCAGATTCGAGCCAAAGGAGAGGGAGTCGACTTTTTGGAGCAAAAATAGAGTTTTGGAGAGAGAAAGTGCGAAGAACAAACCCTAGGAGCTATTTGGAGTGGATTTCTCACCATTGAAGCCCAGATTGCATCCCCAGGAGTGAAGATTGACATCCAGAGTAGATTCTTCCCATTGTTATGAGTATGACTGCTTTGTATTCTGTTTCCCTCTCTCTCTCTATGGAGTAGAACTCTCTCTCACTTGGGTATGAAGAACCCTAGTTCCATGTGTTAGGAATCTTGATTGTAATTACGTTTGGACTGTGATATTGCTTGATTATAATTGATTGAAGTGTTTTGAATGATTCAATAGAAGTCTGATAATCTTTTATTGATTTCTGCTGCAACCTGTGATAGATAGAATCTGATTAGGTTGTTAGAGCTTCTTCAATCGGTAGTAGTGAATCAATTATACGAGAGTTAGTCGATTCACTACTTTGTACTGGAATCTAATTCCAGTAGTGGAGTTCTGTGTTCATTGCCTCAGCGTTCTATCCCGGTGAAGACTAGTCGTCTGCCGGGTAGTTTGACTGAGAGGGCTTGGTCATCTTAAGAGATTCCAAGCTATTGTCGGATCTTCCGCAGTATAATCAGTAGTAAAGCAACCAAAAGTAATTACAACTGTGACCTAACTAAGGAGCTAGGGGGACTCATTCCCGAGTGACTCTTCCCTTGCTTTAGAAAACCGAACCATTTCCTGCTTTTGTTAAAATCACAATCACTCGATGTAGTTTGCTAGATAATAGATAATCACTGAGTAGGCAGTAGATCTAGACCCCGGGTTGACAATTAGAGCTTGCCTATTACTGCATTTCTGGACTGAGATTACACTTGGTCGCAGTTTGGTGTTGTGTTTTAGCGTGTCAAGTTTTTGGCGCCGTTGCCGGGGACCCTCTAGGTTATTGGGGAAACGTGAAAGTTTGTTACTCTAGCTTTTTCTTTACTGCATTTTCTCTTCCACCTGTGTGCCTTCACGGGTTACTTTTGCTGATTGTGTGCAGGTAGTGCATGACCTGTAGCTAGTCGGGAGATTTACTACCATTAGACCAGGAGCTTGAACGGACCTGTATGAACTTCAAGCGGGCTCTAAAGGCGCGACTGGCTGCGAAGGAGGCGCTAGCACAACTGCAAATCGCCGACGAAGAAGAGATGGGTGACCCACAGAACAATGATGTGGTCATTCCCGAGGAACAGACCATGGGGTACTACTGGACCGCCAAAGCCGCGGACATGAGGTCGCCCATTCAGCACCCTCATGTCCCAGCCAACAAATTTGAGGTGAGCACCTCGGTCATCACCATGTTGCGCGACTCGGTAGTATTTCGTGGCAAAGAGAGGGAGTGCCCTCGATCACATCTGAGGCGATTCCACGAGCTCATTGATGGAATTAAGATAAATGGGGTCCCAGCCGATGCCCTCCAGCTGAGGTACTTCCCATTCACTTTGGAGTGCCAGGCCAAGGAGTGGATGGACACCAGGCCCCCTGGATCGATCACCACGTTCGCCAACCTGGCGGACAAGTTCCTCACTCGCTACCATCCTCCGTCCAAGACGGCGGACCTGCAGAAGCAAATTACCCACTTTGCTCAAGACGAAGATGAGACCATTCGGGATGCTTGGGAGAGATACACCAGTCTCTTCATCAAGTGTCCCAACGATGGTTTTACTGACGCCTTCAAGGTGGACGCCTTCTACCATGCCCTCTTCCCGGAGGACAAGTAGCTGATTGACTCGGTCTGTGGCGGGAATATGCTCACCAAAACACCACCACAGCTGAATCAACTCTTTGAAGAGATGGCAGAGCAGGGCTATGACTGGGGAAATGCGAGGAGATCGAGACGAGCACCAGGGCGGGGTGTGCATGTTGTAGCCACCCAGTCATCTGATTTGGTGCAGGTGGTATCTAAACTGGTTTCAGCCATCGACCGTTCTGGGATGATTTCAGGTACAGGACAACAGCAGACGATGCACTGCCAGTGGTGTGAGAGCACCCATCACACCGTGGAGGATTGTTAGGCGATGAGGGAGTCGTCTACTCCCCAGGAGCAGGTGAACTTCATCAACATTGTCAGGCGCAACGATCCTTACAGTAATACCTACAATGAGGGATGGCGCCGGCATCCAAATTGCTCCTGGAGTGGCAACAGCAATCCAAAGCCACCTAGAAGCCAGACTCCTGCAACTAGTTTTCCAAACCAGAGGCAGCCATACCGGCCTCCCGGGCCAGATGCAGCAACAACAACCACTCTATCAGCCCAGACAGGGGCATGCTTTTCAACAGCCCCCACAGTAGCAGTACCAGCAACCTGGTGCACCTCCATCAGTCCCAGCACTGGGCGATCCCGTGTCAGAACTGAGGGATCTAGTGACTACCTTGGCAAGCACTAGTACCCAAAAGTTCAATAAATTGGAGCAATTCATGGAGATTGAAGATGTCCAGGGAAACCAGCAAGCACTCCTGCAGGATATGGATAGCAAGATCGGGCATCTGGCAGATGCCCTTGCTTCCAGACCGGATGGCACACTTCCTGGCCAACCCCTACCGAATCCTAGAAATCATAAGGAGGGGTTGCACGCCATTACACTGTGAAGTGGGACTGTGACTGCGGATGCACCGCAGAAGAGTGCCAAGAAGGTGAACCAGATCACCCCAGAGCCGGAAGAAGACCTGGTGATGGAAAAGGAGCCAGAGGATCAAGCTCCAAAGCCACAACTGGTAGTTGCTGAATACAAGCCTAAGCTCCCTTTTTCCACCAGGATTCACAAAGACAGGCTAGAGGCAGAGTTTGGCAACTTCTCGTCCATGCTAAGGAAGCTGCATGTTCAAGTGCCCTTCATGGAGGCACTATCTTAGATGCCTAAGTATGCGAATTTCCTGAAGGAGCTTCTCTCGAAGAAGCGAAGGCTGAGCGAGCTGGCCACTGTGGAGCTCAGCGAGGAGTGCTCGGCCATTCTGGAGAACAAGCTTCCGCAGAAGCAGAAGGACCCAGGTAGTTTTACTATCCCGTGCTCTATAGGTAAATTGCATGTAGAGAGGTCCTTGGCGGATCTAGGTGCTAGTATTAATGTGATACTATATAAATTGTTCAAGAAACTAGGCCTAGGTGAACCCAGTGTAACTAGGATGAGTATCCAACTAGCTGACCGATCTATAGTTCATCCTAGGGGCATAGTGGAAGACCTTCTGGTTAAGGTTGGCAGATTCTTTTATCCTGTGGATTTTGATGTCTTGGACATCAATGAGGACACAGAAGTGCCCCTTATACTGGGAAGGCCTTTCCTGACCACCTCCAAGGCTCTTATATATGTACATGATGGGACCATAGTCTTGAGGGATGACGAGGAGCGAATAACATTTTCCATTGCTAATACTTTCCGCCTTTGCATGTTGTTTCTCACCAGGAGCACGAGTCTGTCGTGTCTCCTTCTGTGCTTCCCATTTTGCAGGCCCCCTCTCATATTTTCACCGCCACTCCCGTCCACCCCGTCACCAAAGGAAAAGATCAAGGAGGAGTGGCGGCCGAAACTGCAGGTAGCTAAGCCTGCTTGATAGACCATTAATTACACATGTTTTTACCCTTATTCTTTAGCCGTTTGAGACATTGATTCTCGTGTTTAAGCCAAATTCACGCTAGGTTGTGCGTTTATGTCATATTTCAGAGCTTAGCGTTGGCATCGAGGCGAAGGAACGAGATATGGGTCGAAAGGAGCAAGTGAGGTTTGAAGTGTGCTGGAGAACAAAAATGCCTGGCCATGATCAGAAATACCCGGCCGGGTATTATTTGGCGATGACCGGGGATCTGAAGCTTTGGGCGTCTTTGAGAAACAGAAGGGGGCCCGGGCAGGAGGCAAAAATCCCCGGTCGGGGATTCTTGGCCATGACCGGGGATTTTCCCTGGTCACCCGACGGTGCGTTTTGCACATACCCGGTCCCCACCCAAAATACCTGACTGGGTATTTAGGCCGGGGATCGCGACAGACAGCTTCTTAAGGGAAAAGAAGGCTAAAATCAAGGGTTTTGAGTTTTAGAGAGATAGAGCGATTCCTAGAGAGAGAAAGCGAAGAACCAGAGTTCCCAAGTGCCCTAGCTTGATCTTCATCACTATTGGAGCCCGGCTTGAGCTTGGATAAGTGCCGATCGACAACCAGGAGCATAAATCCATCCTTCACAGTATGGTTTCCGCATCTGAATCTGCTTTTGCTTCTCTCTCCATGGAGTAGTTTTCCATTCATCTGGGTATGGAGAACCCTAGATTTGTATGTTAGGTCTGATTGTATGAACCCAAGTACAGATTTGATGATTTGATTATATTCAATTGAAGTTTGAATGATTGAATGGCATGAATCCTGATCAAATTCATGTTGTTTGTGCTTTGACCTAGAAAGAGAATATCTGCCTAGGTTGATAGAGCACCCTTAATTGAAGGTAGTGAATTGGCGACTTTAGTCGAGGAGCCAATTCACTATTTTGTACCGAAGTTACTTCGGTAATGGAGGTTTTGTTCGTTAGGGCCTCAATCTGTTTACTCCGGTGGAGGTTAGTCACCCGCTGGAGACTCAGATTGAGAGGGTCTGGAGACCTTTAGTCGAGACTTCAGACTGCTTAAGAACCTCCCGAAGTATAACTATCATTAAAACTGAACTTGGTAAATTGCAATCCGGCTTGACTGCAATCTAGGGGGAACCATATCCGGGTGACCTCTCTCGACTTGAAACAACCGTTTAATTGCTTGCCTTACTTGTTTGCATGTTTGAACTTGCTCTAAAGTTTCACCGCTAGATAATAAGAATTCACTGAGTAGTCATCACATCTAGGACCCGGGTTGTCATTAAAATCCAAACCCGCTATACTACGCTTTAGGAAGTGGTTGTACTTGGCCATTTTCTAGAGTGACAGTAGGAGTGAGTCAAGTTTTTGGCGGCGTTGCCGGGGACGGCTAGGTTGTTGAAGAAAAGTGATTTCTGTTACTTTAGCATTTTCATTTTCGCATTGACTGTTTGTTCTTTCCCACTTGTGCCTTCACGGGTTTGCTTGCTTGATTGTGTGCAGGTAGTGCATGACCCGTAGCCAGTCGGGAGGTTTACTGCAGTTGGATCCGGAGCTTGAACGCACCTGTCGCCAACTTAGGAGACAACAGCGAGCTAGATTGGCTACGGAGAAGCGCATAGACGGCCATTTGAGCAGCGAGTCCGAGGACGAGTACGAGATGGAAGGAGATTACAATCCACACCAGGGGAATCCTCACCAGGGTCCCCCGGCGAATCAGGTCTTGGGGAACAACCCCATACCCCAGGCAGATGGGGTTCATCATCATCCACTGCCGTCGGGTCCCACCTTGGAGTACTACTACACTCCACGAATTGCTGACATCCGCCCAGTCATCCTCTACCTGCCTATTTCGAGATCAAGCCATGCTGGATTCAACTCATTACATCCTCTATCCAGTTCCATGGCTTGAAGGATAAGGAGGCGAGGGTGCATCTTTCCCGTTTTCCGCAGCTGATGAACGGGTTCAAGCTAAACGTTGTCCCTGATGACGCAATCCGCCTTCACCTCTTTCCACATTCCCTGGCAGGGAATGCTAAGAGGTGGCCGGAGACCCAGCTCCCATTGTCCATCACTTCTTGGGACGATCTGGCCGACAAGTTCGTGCACAGGTACTACCCAGCATCGAAGACTACAGAGATCCAGCGGGAGATCACTCACTTCCGCCAAGAGCCAGACGAGTCACTTCGTGATGCATGGGAGCGGTACATGGGATATTTCTGGCAGTGTCCCCATCATGGTTTCAGTGATGCATTCACAGTGGGGTACTTCTACAGTGCTCTCTCTCCGGACAGCCAGAGGGTGATTGAGTCTCTATGCCCAGGAGGGGATATTCTTACTAAGACTCCACCCGAACTGAACTAGATGATCAGTACATTGGCTGCCAGAGATCATTCCTGGGGGCAGAGCAGCAGAGGCAGAAATTCCCGGGACCGTGGTGTGCACGCCATGGAGGCCAGGTCCGGGCTCGAGCAGCAGGTAGCCGAGTTAGTGCATACATTGAAGCAGCCCAACAGTCTTATTCCGGGCAGAGGTTTGGCTACACCTCCAGTAGCTCATTGTCAGTGGTGTGAGAGCTCAAATCATCTAGTGGAATACTGCCAGGCCATGAGGGAGTCTTCTACTCTCCAAGAGCAGTTGGACTTCATCGCCAATGATCGGCGCCTCGACCGCTACAGCAATACATATAATGAGGGGTGGCGCCAGCATCCCAATTTCTCTTGGAATAGCAACACCACTAAACCACCTAGTTTCCCAGCACTAGCTGGTGGTTTTCAGAAGAGGCAGCCTTTCCAGGCTCGACAGGGGCCCCCCCACAGCAACAGCCCTACAAGCCTAGGCATGGGCAACCATTCCAGCAGCCCCAGCGTCAGTATGCCGAGCCAGCAGCAACTCTGGCTCCAGATAATCAGATGATGCAGCTGGAAAAACATTCTAGCGGCATTCATGACTACCACCCAGGCAACTGTCACGAGGATGGACCAGAGAATAGCCTCACTGGAGGCAGGTCAGAGGAACCAAGGTGCCATTTTGCAAGATTTGCAGAACCAGATGGGTAGCATGGCTCGCCAAAACACTACCAGGGCACCGGGGACTCTGCTTGCCACCACTATTCCGAATCCTCGTGAGCCTCAACAGCACCAGCAGCTAGATGCCATCACTACCAGGAGTGGCAAGACCACATCTGTTGCTCCTGCCCAGCCCAATCAAGATGAGCCACTACCTGCTTCAACACTTCCAGCTGATAATGCAGAAGTGGGGGGGGGGGGGAGACAAAGAAGCACCTGCTCCCAAGCCACAGCCAGTGGTTAAGGAGCATGTACCCCAGCTTCCTTTCCCCACTCGCCTACATAAAGACAAGCTGGAGATTGAGTTTGCCAAGTTCATGGCAATGTTGAAGCAGGTCAACATCAGCATGCCGTTCGTGGAGGCACTGTCGAAGATGCCCAAGTATGCCAAGTTCATGAAGGACCTCCTCACCAACAAGAAGAAACTTGGGGATCGTTCGACAGTGATGCTGAGCGAGGAGTGTTCGGCTATCCTGCAGGGAGTTTCACTATCCCTCTTGTTATTGGCAGCATGCATGTAGTAAAGCCCTTGGCGGACCTAGGCGCTAGCATAAATGTCATGCCCTACAAATTGGTTAAAAAGCTAGACCTAGGTGAACCTAGAGCTACTAGGATGAGCATTCAGTGAGCTGATCGTTCCATCGTGCATCCTAGCGGTATCATTGAGGATTTTCTTGTTAATGTGGGTGCATTCACATATCCTGTTGACTTTGTTATCCTGGATATAAATGAGGATGTGGATGTACCTTTGATTCTGGGTAGACCGTTTCTCGCCACCGCCAAGGTGCTTATTGATGTGCATAGTGGTATATTGATTCTGCGTGCAGGTGATGACCATGCTACTTTTTATGTGTTTGAGAATGGGAAACACTCCCATTTTCATGATGACGTAGATTACTTTGATGTGCTTGCTGATTTTGAGACCGCACTCGCTATAACGAGTGCGGGTACTGACGATGATTTTGAGCGCTGTATTTTGCTAGGTGAGCAGGCATCACAGGAGCCGCAGCTGGCGGAGCAGTTGGCCGCGCTGGAGAGTGGCACATCCCTGGAGGGCGACCGACTGTTCAAACCGATCTCATCCACACCCCGCATCACCACCTCCTTGGAGGAACCACCAGAGCTGAAGCTAAAGCCCCTCCCTCCTCACTTGGAGTATGCATTTCTCCAGGAGGGGAATAAGCTTCCAGTCATCATCAGCTCGACCCTCACACCCGAGCAGAAAGACAGACCGGTGGCCTTGCTGAAGCGGCACGAGCGTGCTCTAGCGTGGAAGATCACAGATATCCGGGGGATCAGCCCCTCCTTCTGCTCCCACTGGATACTGATGGAGGATGAGATGCGGCCAGTGAGACAGCCGCAGAGAAGACTGACACCAAACCTGGAGGTTGTGGTTCGGGCAGAGATCGTGAAGCTGCTGGACGCGGGGTTCATCTACGCCATTTTCGACAGCGAGTGGGTCAGTCCCACCCAGGTGGTACCCATAAAGGGTGGGATGACCGTGGTGCCTAACGAGAAGAATGAGCTCATCCCAATGCGCACGGTGACTGGGTACCGGGTCTGCATTGATTATTGGCGTCTCAACGACGCCACTTGGAAGGACCACTTCCCGCTGTCGTTCATTGACCAGATGCTGGAGAGACTGGCGGGGCATGAGTTCTACCGTTTCCTGGATGGGATGTCCGGGTACTTCTAGATCCCCATTGCACTGGAGGACCAGGCGAAGACCACTTTCACCTGTCCCTTCAACACATTTGCCTACCGGAGGATCCCATTCGGGCTATGTAACGCCCCCGCCACTTTTCAGCGATGCATGCTCGCCATCTTTGACCGGCTAGTCGGGGAGATTATGGAGGTGTTTATGGACGAATTCTCGGTTTATGGAGACTCATTCTATCACTGTCTCCATAACCTGGAACTCGTCCTTAAATGGTGTGAAGAAACGAACTTGTAACTGAGTTGGGAGAAGTGCCACTTCATGGTTCGTGAAGGCATAGTTATGGGGCATAAGATCTCCAAGATGGGGATTGAGGTGGACAGAGCAAAGATCGAGACTATCAGCAAGCTGCCTCCCCCTACATCTGTTAAGGGGATCCGGAGTTTCTTAGGACATGCAGGGTTCTATAGGCGGTTCATCAAGGATTTTTCGAAGATCGCCCTGCCCCTGACTAAGCTTCTTGAGAAGGATGCCCCCTTCTAGTTCACTGATGCATGCACAGCGGCATTCACGACCTTGAAGGAGAAGCTCACCCAAGCTCCTATCATGGTTGTTCCTGACTGGTATTTACCATTTGACCTGATGTGCGATGCCAGTGACTTTGCTGTTGGAGCTGTCTTGGGGCAGAGGCTAGATCAACACTTTCGACCTAACTACTACGCCTCGAAGACCCTAAATGATGCCTACAAGAACTACACCACCACGGAGAAAGATCTCCTCGCGGTGGTGTTTGCCTTTGATAAATTTCGTCCTTATCTGGTCTTGTCCCATGTGACCGTGTATACAGATCACTCCGCGATTCGATACCTTATGAGCAAGGCCGATGCCAAGCCTAGGCTCATACGATGGATCTTACTATTGCGGAGAATGTTGCAGCCGATCACCTCTCCCAGTTGGACGCACCTCCTGCGGACAACCTCGAGGAGGAGATAAACGACTCCTTCCCAGATGAGAGATTGATGATGATGTACTTGTTGGAGAGTGTCACCCCTTGGTACTCTGATTTTGCGAACTATCTGGTGGGCCAGCAGCTGCCCAAGGGGATGACAACTCACAATAAGAGGAAATTCTTCTCCGACCTGAAGCATTACTTTTGGGATGTCCCTCATCTCTTCAGGATTGGAGCCGACGGCATCATCCGTCGCTGTGTTATGGAGAGTGAGATGGAGGGCATTCTATCTCACTGTCATGAAGGACCTACTGGCGGTCACCACGGAGGAAACCGCACAGCGAGGAAGGTGCTACTGCCGGGCTTCTACTGGCCCACGCTCTTCAAGGACGCAGACGCCTTCGTACGCAGATGCGACCGATGGCAGAGGTGAGGTAACATCTCTACCCGTGATGAGATGCCCCAGAATGTGTGTATAATTTGTGAGATTTTCAATGTCTGGGGTATCGACTTCATGGGCCCCTTCCCTACATCTTTTGGTAATACCTATATCTTGGTTGCTGTTGACTACGTCTTTAGGTGGGCCAAGGCGCAAGCTTTGCCCACTAATGATGCTAGACGTGTTTGTGTTTTTCTGAAGCAGCTATTCTCCCGGTTCGGAACACCTAGGGCCATCATAAGCGATCGAGACACCCATTTCCAGGGCCAGTTTGATAAGTTACTGTCTCGCTATGGTGTGACTCATAAGGTGTCCGTGGCCTAGCATCCTCAAACAAGTGGCCAGGCTGAGCTGACGAACAGGAGCTCAAGCGTATCCTGGAGAAGACGGTGGATTAATCCCGCAAGGATTGGTCCGCCAAGCTCGATGATGCTCTATGGGCATACCGCACTGCCTACAAGACACCCATTGGTACTTCACCATACCGGCTTGTCTATGGAAAGGCATGCCATTTGCCCATGGAGCTAGAGCACAAGGCCTTTTGGGCCCTTAAGCTGCTCAACTTGGATGTTAGTGTTGCTGGTGTTGAGCGCAAAATGCAGATGATGGAGCTAGAGGAGTGGCGTTATCACGCCTATGAGAACACCAAGTTGTACAAGGAGCGCACTAAGCGCCTGCACGACGCACGGTTGCGGGGTCCGAAAGAGTTCCAGGTTGGTGATTGAGTTCTCCTCTATAACTCTCGCCTGAAGCTCTTTCCCGGAAAACTCCGTTCCCGGTGGTTTGGACCGTTCACGGTCACACAGGTGTTCTCGTATGGCACGATTGAGATTGCCAACCCGAAACTGAGCCGTTTAAAGTGAATGGCCATCGTCTCAAGCTCTACCTAGGAGACGAGGTCGAACGTGCGGAGTTGGTAGTGGAACTCGCGGACCCTTAGTTCCGCCACGGGCGTCCAGCTAAAAGATGGTAAAGAAGCGCTTGTGGGGAGGCAACCCCATCACGGTTTGCATTTCTTTTTCCCTTTTTTTGTGTTTTTGTGTCGTGTTGAGTCAGTTGCATGTCTATGTTGAAGTTCGGTCGTCGGTAATGTCTCGGTTTGGTGTTTTCGTGCAGGGGAGGTTGAAAATTTGGGAGAATGAGAATTTTGGCCGGAAGGGTAAAATACTCGGTCGTGAGCCAAAATACCCGACCGGGTATTTGTGGCTCGTGACCGGGACCCTTTCTGCCTTCCGGGGCGCCCAAAGGGAAAATCCCAGACCTTGGCCCAAAAATACCCGACCGAGTATTTTTGGCTCAAGGCTGGGGATTTCCCAGGATTGTAACACCGCGTTTAGAGACCCCCGACCTTGCCCCAAAAATACCCGACCGGGAATCTTTGGCTCAAGGTCGGGGATTTCCAAGAGCTTGAAACGCGACGTTATACAAAACCCCAGTCGTGGACTCAAAATACCCGACCGGGGATTTTTGCTATTTAAGCAAACCCCCGGTCAGTTTTCTCTCTCTACCCTCATTTTTTCCAAATTTTTCCTCTCCTCCTCTCAAAAATCCTCTACCCTCTCTCCTCCTTTGGTGGCCGCAGCCGCCGCCGGCCACTTTCCGGCGACCTTCCGGCGGTTTCCGACGATTTTCCGACCAACTTTCCGGCGAGCCTCCCGGGTCATTTTTTACCCTTTTTCGCGTCCCTCACCCGTTTTAGCGTCCTAGCTACAGTTCTACTTGAGTTTCCAGGTGTGTTTCTTGTTTCCTACTCTTTTTTGGAAAATCGAACTGTAGATTGTAGGACCGAGAACTGTGTTTGCCTGTCATGCTTGAATTAGAATAGGGTGAGGGATGCCTTATGTATGATTGGCTATGGCTATTGTGTGTGTGCTGCCCGAATGATTAAATTGGTCGGTTGTATTTGCTTCTTGCCTCGATTGCGGTTGAGTTTCTTGCAATTCAACCGGTTATGCTTAACCTGCTAGCCTAGGTGATCCTTAAGTGTGGGGGAAGCAATGAACCCATACTGTTGGTCCTGACAAGTTTTTCTTGGCTCCACCTTTGGTTTGCTGATTGTGCAGGAGCATGTCACTCGACCATCCATTTGTGCAAGACCTGAGCCTGCACCGGGATTACGCGGACCAGTTCCGCAAGGTCATCCGGGGGAAACTGGAGCGCCATCACCATCTTGAGTGGGCAGTTTTCGAGCAGCTCCACTGCATACAGGAGCTCTCCTCCACCATCAGCCACCGGGATTGGCGGACTTTGCTGACGATCGAGGAGCCCACCTACCCCGAGCTGGTATGGGAGTTCTACACCACGTTCCAGTACCGCCCCAAGGCGGCCCGGGACTCCTACACGGTCACATTCAGGCTGGGTGGCCGCCCACGTGAGCTGACTATAGATGGGGTGGCCTACGCCATGGGGATCGAGTACCACCCGTTCTCCCGCCACGAGGTCGAGGTCCCGAACCCGAACGACTGGAACATGGATGAGTTCTACCGGCGGATAGCCCGACGCACCTATGGGTGCGACTGCTTCGACGCTGGCCGGACAACTGTTCGCACCCTGAAGCCGCAGTGGCACATTCTGAACCTGCTCATCACCCGATCCATCGTCCCCAACGTCACTGGATCCCACAAGATCCCGAAGCGGGTACTGTACGCCATGTACTCGATGGGGTACCCGGATCACATGCTGCATTTGGGTTCCTTCGTGGCTACCACCTTCTCTCGATGCCACGGGAAGCCCAACTATCTCTTTTGTGGTCCCGTGATCACCCGCTTGGCGCGCCATTTCGACATCAGCTTCGATGGCCTCACCAATTCTAATGTCCGGGGCGGCTCCACCCCCCTCAGTCGGGACGTGCTCCACAATGCACTCCTCCTTGCCACTGACGGCACCCGCTCTTGGGTGGATGGGCTCTCTATGCCCCCTGAGGAGGATGCCGACCTCGATGAGGACGAAGAGGATGTTGACTACACCGCCGAGGAGGGGGATGATGATGATGATGGTGGTGGTGGTGGGGCCATGGATGCTGATGAGCCGGAGACCCCACTCTCTCCACCAGGCGACCTTCGGCCACGACGGAGATCAGAGAGAGGCGAGTCCTCCTCTGGTCCTTCTCGTGCGTCGATGGCTTCTGGACCGTCGATGGACTTCTTCACATAGCAGTTCCAGCAGATGGGACTCCAGTTCCAGCAGCTTGGCCTCCAGAACCAGCAGCTCATGGACCATCAGGTCCAGTTTTACTAGCACTATTCGGCCCACCAGGTCGAGTACCAGTCCAGGATTACGGTCGTCGACGAGCTCCTCGACCAGATGGAGGCCCAGATGGGAGTCACTGGTGCTCTCATCGAGCGGGAGCGGGATCTTGGCCGCCGATTGATGGAGTACTCGGAGCACCTGCTCCAGACTTGTCACCCACCGAGGAGCACCACTGGACCACCCGGTGGGATCACTCGCCACTGCGACCACCATCACCATCACTAGAGGGGGGCGACGATCTCATGGACCAGATTGACTTCACCGGTCTCGAGTAGGTTGTGCTCGTAGCCCCATTTTGTGTTGTTTCCCTTTCTGTCAGAATGCAAACTGTCTTGTGTGTTGGTTTATTTTCTTTGCTTTCTTTTGATTTTGGATAATGTACTATTGGGCTGACCATTGGACCTAACGTATTGTGTTTGAGTTCTTTTGTTCCCTTTAGCTGTGTTGTGGAGCTAAGACCGTTGAATCCATGTGGTAATGGTGACTCTGATTGGATTGTGTTATGGACTCGTGTATCGAACAGGGTGCTCATGTGAAAAGTGAAATGCAGTTGGTCCTCCATGTCAAAATCATTAAATCTTAACCATGGGGTAAGCCCAACGTGTGCGGCACCGTTCATTGCGCAAAATCGGGTTTTGGAAGAGATTTTAGTGATCCTTAGTGGGGTACTCCTACAAGGTGAAGCTAAGCCGTCTCTAGTACAAGTAAAACGTCCACCGGTTGAACGTTTTGCCTACTTGAGGATGTGTTTTTAAGGGCACGGATAGAGCTTCCGACCCCCCTTAATTTCATTGACCCTCCACACGAGTTGAGGAAAAGGAGTTAAAAGTACTCTGGCGAGCGCCAGATGTTCAGAAATTGCTCTTGCTCGACTAATAAGGGTCGACCGTGCAAATGACTGCAGTTGGAACCCCCGCTAAGTGAATGAAATGAAAAAAAAAAGAAAAAAGAAATAAAGTGAAAGTGAAAAAGGGGTTCCAACGGTGAAATGAAGTGAAAAGAGCACCCCGGTACAACAAGTCCTTGGTTGTGAATGATATGAGTCCCTTTATCCATGAACTGACTGTCTTACTTCTACTTCTTCTCATGATCCTGGCTTGAGTCTAGTACTCGCATTGAGAGAGATAGGGAATGTCTTAGAAGACCAGTTGACCTCGTAAGCTGCTATATGATCTAGGAAATCCTCTACCGACGATCGGGGTTGTTTGTTGCTATAGAGGTCTGGAGAGTTGCATTGGTTTGAGTTAGGTTTGCTTGGGGACAAGCAAACGGTTAAGTGTTGGGGAGTTTGATAGACCATTAATTACACATGTTTTTACCCCTATTCTTTAGCCGTTTGAGACATTGATTCTCGTGTTTTAAGCCGATTTCACTCTAGGTTGTGCGTTTATGTCATATTTCAGGGCTTAGCGTTGGCATCGAGGCGAAGACAAGATTTGGGTCGAAAGGAGCAAGTGAGGTTTGAAGTGTGCTGGAGAACAAAAATACCCGGCCATGATCAGAAATACCCGACCGGGTATTATTTGGCGATGACCGGGGATCTGAAGCTTTAGGCGTCTTTGAGAAACAGAAGGGGGCCCGGGCAGGAGGCAAAAATCACCGGTCGGGGATTCTTGGCCATGACCGGGGATTTTCCCCTGTCACCCGACGGTGCGTTTTGCACATACTCGGTCCCCACCCAAAATACCCGACCGGGTATTTAGGCCGGGGATCGCGACAGACAACTTCTTAAGGGAAAAGAAGGCTAAAAATCAAGGGTTCCGAGTTTTAGAGAGACAGAGCGATTCCTAGAGAGAGAAAGCAACGAACCAGAGTTCCCAAGTGCCCTAGCTTGATCTTCATCACCATTGGAGCCCGGCTTGAGCTTGTAGAAGTGCCGATCGACAACCAGGAGCAGAAATCCATCCTTCACAGTATGGTTTCCGCATCTGAATCTGCTTTTGCTTCTCTCTCCATGGAGTAGTTTTCCCATTCATCTGGGTATGGAGAACCCTCGATTTGTATGTTAGGTCTGATTGTATGAACCCAAGTACAGATTTGATGATTTGATTATATTCAATTGAGGTTTGAATGATTGAATGGCATGAATCCTGATCAAATTCTTGTTGTTTCTGTTTTGACCTAGAAAGAGAATATCTGCCTAGGTTGATAGAGCACCCTGAATTGAAGGTAGTGAATTGGCGACTTTAGTCGAGGAGCCAATTCACTATTCTATACCGAAGTTACTTCGGTAGTGGAGGTTTTGTTCGTTAGGGCCTCAATCTGTTTACTCAGGTGGAGGTTAGTTGCCCGCTGGAGACTCAGATTGAGAGGGTCTGGAGACCTTTAGTCGAGACTTCAGACTGCTTAAGAACCTCCCGCAGTATAACTATCATTAAAATTGAACTTGGTAAATTGCAATCCGGCTTGACTGCAATCTAGGGGGAACCATATCCGGGTGACCTCTCTCGACTTGAAACAACCGTTTAATTGCTTGCTTTACTTGTTTTCTTGTTTGAACTTGCACTAAAGTTTCACCGCTAGATAATAAGAATTCACTGAGTAGTCATCACATCTAGGACCCGGGTTGACATTAAAACCCAAACCGCTATACTACGCTTTAGGAAGTGGTTGCACTTGGCCATTTTCTAGAATGACACTAGGAGTGAGTCACTGCTCAAAAGAAAGCCGGAGACCACTATGAGCTGGTCCCGCCCCCTGAACCTCGGCCACCTTGGTGATAGGGCAAAAGCGTATATGCCAATTTCCTATCTCGTAGTAAACCGGAAAGTCCGGGTATCGTCTCTCAGGGACTGGTACAACCTTATGATTTATCAAATTTATGAGCAAACTATAAGTGAAAATGGTTTGAGATATAAACTAATTTCTAAAAGCAAAATAATTAAACTAATTAAGCAAAGTAAACTTGTCGGGAGAAATTCAATGGGGGAAGCTCTGGGAGAAACACCGGGATTCACTACCTATCCTATCCAGATTAATTCACATATTCCAATCAATTTAATCCAATTCTCTACAGCCAGGATATCACGAATGTACTAGCTATCCCTGTCGGGAATTACTACGTACTAAATAATCAATTCAAATCCTACTGTCGTAGCTCAATGAATTAACTATCTAGCCTGAAGATCGATATCCTATTTAAGACCGCATAGCACCTTATTTAATCCACTGTCGCTTCGATAAGTTACTATGTCACATGAAATAGGCTCGGTTAATAGGGTTTCACTGTCGCTAATAACCTAATCAACTACGATTCATTGTATTGGTGGCCAGTCAACACAAGGCATTAAGCAATTTCATGCAATAGAGATTGGAAGAAAAGAATCATAAATCAATCCATCAAATCAAGAAATAGCTACATCCTATGGTGTTTCCCCCAGAAATTGGAGTTTAGTTCATGACGAAATTAAGATAAATCGATAGGGTTTTGTTCATCATGTTACGAAGCAAAGCAAAAGAAAAACAAATACTGAAATTTTCTTCCCTGCTCTGCACTCGATCGCCCGCGCAAGCTGCTTCTCCGCTGCGCCTGCTCCCTGTCCTTTTTTTTCCCAAGAGAATCCGTCCGCTACCTCCATTCCGCCCCTCGCCCCCAGCCTTTTATTGCCTTCGCTTTTCTCCAAATTAATTCCGTCCTCTCAATTGCCACGGACCTGGGCCAAAAATCAAATGCCCACCTGCTGTTCCGCCCATTAATTCCACCCAAGACTTCTCGCCTACAAAATCAAGTTTTTGTGGGCTTTAAGTCCACCTTTAATTAAACTTCTCAGTCTCATTAATTTCGTCCCGGTCCAGAAGTTTCAACGCACTAAGCTCCTCATAGGTCCAATTGTTATTCCACCAATGATTCAAGCCCGATTGTTTGCCCGTACAATTTCTCATTTTTTTGTGCTTTCTTCACCTGTAATACATCAAACTCATGGCACTAGGCAGTAGTGGTTTTTCAACCATTTTCGGGTTAGCGAGCCCTAAAATAACACCAATCGGCTTAAACATATCATGGATAATCACATAAAGTCCAAGAATTCAATATGTTAAAGCCGATTATCACAACCCCACACTCAATTGTTGCTTGTCCCTAAGCAACGACTCAAACAACACAAACACAAAACCATCCAAAACAATGACACACCACAGACTCAACACTCAAACACTCAAAACAAAACACAAAATTTCCTTGTACTCTTGTTGTAATCAGTAGTTTCTTTCTCAACGGACAAGTTTTGCTTTGATGGTCATGCCTATCACCCCACACTCAAGTTCTTTGCAACCATTACCATTGACTAACTCAAATCCATCAAAAACTCAAATAGCAACACTCAATTCAGGTCGTCAGTAGCGGGTGATTAACAACTTATGGTGCAACAGTTATTAGGAGAATCTAACCACATCAGTGAGGTGCATATCTCGTGAGGACAGTCTGGCTTACTCACACCAATCATAAACAATTAATTAAGCATGAGTCTCAAAAACTAACGGGGGACGCCTTTCGCAAACATGATTTTAATTTTAAGCACATCACTACCTTTTATGACAAGGAGAGACTTTCTCTCTTTCTGCTTTTGCTTGCCGAGAAGTCGTATTTAGTACAAGTGGGATTTGTTTCTTACTACCTTTGACCGAGCAAGAGCAATTTCTGCTTCTTAGCACTCGCATAAGGGCTTCTTTTAACTCCTTATCCTCGGTCCGTGTGGAGGGTCATTTCACACTCTAATGGCACTTCACTCTACTGGGGATCGTACTTGATAAGCAACATCGTACGGTCGCGAACCGATTCTCAATTGAATCTTTCCTCATCCCCATGTGCAATGAGTGATTGCCTCACACGATTTTGGCATTTTTACCCACATTTTAATTGTTATGGCAACTTTCTTATATTTTACTTGTCAGGTAGTGTTTTCTCATTTTATAAAGATACAGTTCACCCCATCATAAAACATTCAAAACAGAGAGACTCATTGCAAAATCAAAAGCTCACAATTGATGCAAGTAAGCACGGTATCCAAACATATCGAATGGTCAATGTTCTCCACCTAACTACTTCACCAAAAGTCATTACACTATCCTCCCAAAAGAGAATGTTGCTAAAAGAGTTGCTCATTCCAAGCATATCAAGTCAGTCAAAACATTTAAGCTCATTGTGAAGAACCATGCAATTCAACACTAGTGGGGTGATTTTGATGATTTCCTTCAAGCACAAACTCATTTTCAAGGCATCACGGTCATTTACATCATGTTACCACAAGAGTACAAGGTTTTGTTTTTGATTTTTCTGATTTTTAGGTGTTTTTTAGCCATTAGCTTTGCACAGGCAGCATGCTTTTTACACAGGCAGACTGCTTTTTACACAGGCAAACTGCATGCAGTTTGGCTGTGCTCAACCTAATGGCAAATTTTTTTTTTTTTTTTTTTACCGACCACATGACAAAAGGAACAAACAAATTTTTTTTTTTTTTTGAAATTTTTTTTTTACTGACCACATGACAAAAGGAACAAACAAACACTAAGACTCGCCACCCCACACTCAGGATGGAACATTGTCCCTAATGTTCAACTCCTAATCTAAACATGCACGGGTTTGACACAACTAAAAATAAAAATAAAGAAAAGAAAACTTACCTTGGGTTGCCTCCCAAGAAGCGCTTGTTTAACGTCCTCAGCCTGACGTTTATGGAGCTTTCAACCAATGGGTATGGAAAGGTATCCAGCGTACCCTCCCGAGCAATGATAGAACGCATAACCTCCATCCAGCATATGAGTCACCTCTGCAGGGCCAGGTGTGCGAAAATTGGGTATGACCTTCTTAGCTGGCATGTTAGACCCTTTAGTGAGGCGTAGGTGGTATTGCAGCGCCTCAAGCAGGTACTCTTCCTGTTTCAATGTCAGTGAAGAAGGAATAATAACAGGAATATTGAAATCCTTACCCAAATATCTATACTTGAGGTGACCTGGCAAGGATTTCTGCCCTTGCTTTGATTTCAGAATCTGAGCAGATAGGATAGGTGATAGTTCTTCGGATGGTCCACTATCACAGGAAGAGGGATTTTTCCTTTCTCGAGCTTCACTTTCAAATTCATCATGATTATGGTCAACTTGAAAGACATTAAAAATTTCCTCCTCCTTACCTACTCGGAATGTCAACTTGCCTCTCCCAACATCGATGAGTGCATCACCGGTTGCTAGAAAAGGTCTGCCGAGGATTAGAGCCACTCCCCGATCATCTTCCATCTCCAGGATTACAAAATCTGTTGGGAGAATAAACTTTCCCACCTTCACCAATACATTCTCCACCACTCCTTTTGGAATTTTCACTGATCGATCAGCCAATTGGAGAGTGATCCGAGTAGGCTTTAGAACATCTCCCAATCCCAATTTCTTGTAGACTGAGTATGGCATCAAATTAATTCCTGCTCCAAGATCACAAAGTGATTTATTGAATTCTGTACCTCCAATGACACATGGAATGGTGAAGCTGCCCGGATCATCCCTCTTTTCTGGTAATTTATTCTGAATCACAGCACTACATTCAGAAGTAAGGGTTACCTTCTCTAGATCAGCCCATTTCCGCTTCTTTGTCAACAACTCCCTTAAGAATTTAGCATATGTAGGCATCTGTTCAAGTGCCTCCGCCAAGGGTATGTTAATCTGAAGTTGCTTGAAGATATTTACAAATTTCTTGAAGTTTGGGTCTTCCATGGGCTTCATTAACCTTTGAGGGAATGGTGCGGGAGGTTCATAAGGCTTTACCTCTTCATTCTTCAATTTTTCCACTTTTTGAGGTACACGGGCAGCATGCTTTTGCACAGGCAAACCGCTTTCATTTTGCCTGTGCAAGGCTGATTCTTCATTTTCTGCACAAGATCTTTCTCCCGGTGCTTCCTCTTCTGCCTCTGGTGCATTTTTTGAGCTGCTAGGGTCTTCCAAGGCCTTTCCACTCCTCAATGTCACTGCTACAACCATGGCATCCTTCGGATTCCTCTCAGTATTTGCTGGTAATGTCCCAGGAATCCTGCCTTGCATATCTGCCAAAGTTTGAGCCATCTGGCCTATTTGCCTTTCCATAGCTAGCATAGAAGATTGTAAATTATTGTTGATGGCTAGCTGTTGAGTGACAAATTGATCCAGGCCCTTGAAATTATTGTCTGTTTTCTGCATATGAGCCAAAATCAACTCCTCCAGCTGGGGCTTCTTCTCTGGTTGAGGCTGCTGCTGTTGAAAACCGGGAGGTGGGATGTTTCGAACACCAGCTGGATTATTATTTGACCATGACATGTTGGGGTGATGTCTCCATTGAGGGTTATATGTATTTGAATACATACCACCCTGGCCTTGACTTCGCGGATTATTGATGTATTGGACATCTTCCAGCTGAGCAGCTCTCAGTGGACACATATCCCTGTGATGAGGACCCTCGCAAAGTTCACATGAAACAACCTCCTCTTGTCTACCCAGAGCAATCTTGGCCAACCTTCGTTCGAGTGCATCAAACTTGGAATCCAGTTTAGCATCTATCTTGGCTTCTAGACTCGCAACTCTGTTTATCTCATGCAAGCCTCCTCTCCTTCGAATACTGGTCTCACTACCCCATTCAGTGGCTTCTGAACAGATCTTCTCTACCAGATCATATGCTGCTGGTGCCTCCATGCTTGTGAAACCATTTCGAGAAGCATTATTCAGGGCATCTCGAAACTCCCTTCTTATTCCATTGAAGAAAATAATGATCACGTTCCAATCTTCAAGACCATGGCTTGGGCATCTCATCAACAGCCCCTTGTAGCGCTCCCATGCCTCAGTCAGACTCTCATCATCAGTCTGCTTAAAAGTAACAATCTCTTCTTGCCTCTTCATTGCCAAGGCAGGTGGGAAGTATTTATCCAGAAATACCTTCTCAAGCTGACCCCATGTCGTGATGGAACGGGGTGTTAAGTTTTGGAACCAGTGTGATGCATTCCCTAGCAGAGAAAATGAGAACATCCGAAGACGGATTGCATCATCAGACACGTTCGGGCTCTTCATAGTATCACAAATGCTCGCGAACCGGCGAAGATGCTCATGAGGATCCTCACTGCTAGCCCCGGAGAAGGTGTACCCATTAGTGATCATATTGATGAAGGCTGGGGTAATCTCCATGTTTGCATCCCCAGCCGGAATGACAACACATGAAGCTCGGGCTCCAGTCCTTCGATTCAGACGAGCCCTGATCGAACGATCCTCGTCTGCCATGATGACAAGCTCAATGGCACGAGGTGGTGGTGGTGGTGTAGGGACGACAGGTGATGAAGCCTGCCCTCTCTGGGTTAGGGAAGGCCTAGTGGTTGTGGTTGGCTGCTTCCCTAACTTGACCTGCTTCCTGTTCTGTCGGCAGGTCTTCTCGATCTCCAGATCTAGTGGCAGTAAATCGCCGGTCGTCCTCCTAGGCATGCACGAGGAGGATAAACCTGAAAATTCTTCTGCACACTAACACCCAGATCAAAATAGTTCACTCACAAAAATCAATAAAAATAAGGTATGGCAGTCCCCGGCAACGGCGCCAAAAACTTGATAGGGCAAAAGCGTATATGCCAATTTCCTATCTCGTAGTAAACCGGAAAGTCCGGGTATCGTCTCTCAGGGACTGGTACAACCTTATGATTTATCAAATTTATGAGCAAACTATAAGTGAAAATGGTTTGAGATATAAACTAATTTCTAAAAGCAAAATAATTAAACTAATTAAGCAAAGTAAACTTGTCGGGAGAAATTCAATGGGAGAAGCTCTGGGAGAAACACCGGGATTCACTACCTATCATATCCAGATTAATTCACATATTCCAATCAATTTAATCCAATTCTCTACAGCCAGGATATCACGAATGTACTAGCTATCCCTGTCGGGAATTACTACGTACTAAATAATCAATTCAAATCCTACTGTCGTAGCTCAATGAATTAACTATCTAGCCTGAAGATCGATATCCTATTTAAGACCGCATAGCACCTTATTTAATCCACTGTCGCTTCGATAAGTTACTGTGTCACATGAAATAGGCTCGGTTAATAGGGTTTCACTGTCGCTAATAACCTAATCAACTATGATTCATTGTATTGGTGGCCAGTCAACACAAGGCATTAAGCAATTTCATGCAATAGAGATTGGAAGAAAAGAATCATAAATCAATCCATCAAATCAAGAAATAGCTACATCCTATGGTGTTTCCCCCAGAAATTGGAGTTTAGTTCATGACGAAATTAAGATAAATCGATAGGGTTTTGTTCATCATGTTACGAAGCAAAGCAAAAGAAAAACAAATACTGAAATTTTCTTCCCTGCTCTGCACTCGATCGCCCGCGCAAGCTGCTTCTCCGCTGCGCCTGCTCCCTGTCCTTTTTTTTCCCAAGAGAATCCGTCCGCTACCTCCATTCCGCCCCTCGCCCCCAGTCTTTTATTGCCTTCGCTTTTCTCCAAATTAATTCCGTCCTCTCAATTGCCACGGACCTGGGCCAAAAATCAAATGCCCACCTGCTGTTCCGCCCATTAATTCCACCCAAGACTTCTCGCCTACAAAATCAAGTTTTTGTGGGCTTTAAGTCCACCTTTAATTAAACTTCTCAGTCTCATTAATTTCGTCCCGGTCCAGAAGTTTCAACGCACTAAGCTCCTCATAGGTCCAATTGTTATTCCACCAATGATTCGAGCCCGATTGTTTGCCCGTACAATTTCTCATTTTTTTGTGCTTTCTTCACCTGTAATACATCAAACTCATGGCACTAGGCAGTAGTGGTTTTTCAACCATTTTCGGGTTAGCGAGCCCTAAAATAACACCAATCGGCTTAAACATATCATGGATAATCACATAAAGTCCAAGAATTCAATATGTTAAAGCCGATTATCACTTGGCCATCCGAGTATTCGCTCGCTTGCATCCTGCCGGATGGCCAGGTCGAGTTGACGAGTGCTGGTGGTCACACTCGTCGAGCGCATGGCCACCACCTGAAGTTGTACCTAAAGAGCGATGTGGATCCTCTCTTGAAGGCACATGTTACTTCACCTCTGAGCATCCACCCTACTGGCATCCAGCTAAAAGACGGTAAAGAAGCGCTTGTGGGAGGCAACCCCACCAAGGTTTGTTTTTCTTTCGTTTGTTTTTCGGTTTGTCAACTTGGAACTTCGGTTCTTTCACCCAGTGTGTGTCTTTTGATGACTTAGCTCTGTGCCTTGGACTGGTCCCCCTTCCAGTCCCCTTCTATTGACTGGTCTGCCTTCTACTTCCCATTCCTGATCTCATTTCATAGTAACATCGTTCCCCTTCCCTCTGCTCCATTGAGGACACTGTCGCATTTAAGTGGGGGGGGGGGGGGGGGGGGGGGGGGGGGGGGGGGGGTTGTTTGTATTCATTGGAACGTATATATGTGTGCTTGGAGCCTAGTCCGCTGTCCAAATCTCGAGATTTGAGGGCTCCAAGTACTGCTGTTTGCTTGATGTTTGATCGTATTGGCACTGTGGATTTGATTGGTGAATCGAATGGCTTTCGAATTAATGCATGAAAGCTTGATTGTAACTAGGACAACCTATAATGATGACTGAGACATGCAGTAGAACTGTGTAGGGGTTCAGTTTTTCAACTGTTTTCTTACCAACTGTAACTTGGATTGATCACTTGCTCTTGATAGTCATTTATGCATCTAGTTCAGGGAATCGGAATGAGAGATAGAGCATATAGGTAGCCATGTGAGATTTGAGCCTGCCCGTTTCTTTCTTGTGCGATAGTTCCCTTTTCATGATGTGTAGCATTCACGTTGCCATTAGCTAAGATGATGGAGGCATAGGATTAGCCCACGACTAAATTGACTGTCCTGATGTGTCATACCCCCTAGTCAGCCCTTTGAGCCGTGTGTTATCCTTTCTTTCGGTCTACAATGGAAAATCACCCCTTTGCATCTTTTAGAAGGTTCCACAGAGTGGTTTTTACATGTTCTCTGCTGTTTCTGCTAAATATAATGTGAGGGTTTGAGGTAGTTCGTAAAAAAGTTGGGCATGTGTTTGAAAAATGTGCATAGGTGGTGGTTCTCTCAAGAAATGAAAAAAAAAAATGAATGAAAGCAAAAGAGAGCCACCACCACAAAATATGAATAGTGCCCATTGAGTAGTGTTTCTTAGCAGTGTGGCTTGAAAATACTAACATTTATGTGACCTCCTTCGCTCTTGTGCTCTAAAGAATGTGAGTAATGCAGAATGGCAAAAAGAAAGAGTGGTTTGATTGACTGTAATTGTGTTCGGGGGAATTGTGGAACCTTGTGCTATGAATACTTCCACCACCTAAAAGGCCTTTTACCCATATCCAAGACCCTAGGCAGTCATCTGAACCTGTGTCTAAGACCTCCGAATTAGTTAGTGATGACACCCGATATGTGAACTCTAACATTTAGAGGTTGCCGTCATGGTGAAGAGACGTTAGGAATTGAGAGTATGAGTATGCACATCTTGCATCAAAATTCTATCCTGACCCCACTGGTCGAGAGTGAGCGATTTATTTCCTCATATTTTCTACACTCTTTACCCCGATGAGGACCTAGATTGCTCGGTCTTAATTCTGATATCTTGAGCTTTGTGCATGAAGTGACTGTCTCGAATAAGTGGTTGAGTCAAGTCCATGTTGGTTGGTGAACAGAAGGGAGACTCTTCCTTTGCTCGACTTTGCTGCACTCGAATGTCATCTGTGGTGGTTGTCTAGGTTGTCGTTGAGGTTGTCTATGTGTTAATGATCAAAAGCCAGTATGATTCACGTGTTTTGTGCCGATATGACATGTCCCTAAAGCCTGCTTGATTAAAACGTTTTAAGCTTACCTTGTGTCTGACTTGGTTTGCTTGGGGACCGTTAGTTCTTATCCGTTTGCGGCTAGTAGTCGTGTATTTTTGGCCCGTTTTACGCTGGGTTGTGCTACTTTGTCATATTTCAGGTCCCAGACGTCGAAGGAAAGGCTAAGCACGAGATTCGGGGCGTTTGGAGGTTATTCGGTCGAGCTGGAGGCAAAACACGGGCAGGAGGCCTGAAGAACACGGTCGTGTACACAAACAGGCACGCAAGTGTTTTTATGTGCAAGAGCTAAACTGATGGAAAAGCAAAACACGGCCTCGCCTAAAGAAAAACACAGTCGTGTCCATATTTATGCACGACCGTGTTTTGGCCGACGCGGGCGTGTTTTTAACACATGGCAAGGGCACGGACGGGCAAAAGCAAAACACGGTCATGCCCTCGACCGTGTTTTGCCCAGAATCGGGTTTTTGAGGCATATTCGAGCCAAAGGAGAGGGAGTCGACTTTTTGGAGCAAAAATAGAGTTTTAGAGAGAGAAAGTGCGAAGAACAAACCCTAGGAGCTATTTGGAGTGGATTTCTCACCATTGAAGCCCAGATTGCATCCCCAGGAGTGAAGATTGACATCCCAAAGCAGATTCTTCCCATTGTTATGAGTATGACTGCTTTGTATTCTGTTTCCCTCTCTCTCTCTATGGAGTAGAACTCTCTCTCACTTGGGTATGAAGAACCCTAGTTCCATGTGTTAGGAATCTTGATTGTAATTACGTTTGGATTGTGATATTGCTTGATTATAATCGATTGAAGTGTTTTGAATGAGTCAATTGAAGTCTGATCATCTTTTATTGATTTCTGCTGCAACCTGTGATAGATAGAATCTGATTAGGTTGTTAGAACTTCTGCTTTCTTACTGCTTTTAGTTAAAATCACAATCACTCGACTTAGTTTGCTAGATAATAGATAATCACGGAGTAGGCAGTAGATCTAGACCCCGGGTTGACAATTAGAGCTTGACTGTTACTGCATTTCCGGACTGTGATTACACTTGGTCGCAGTTTGGTGTTGTGTTTTAGCGTGTCAGGCTGCAAATTCATACAAGGGAAAGGAAATTGATGAGGCATATCCATGGATTCTCCTCGCAATTGGTGGTCTGGTGCTATTACTCTCATTCCAACTCCATGAATTTGCCATCTATTTTATGTTTTGGGAAGAAGAAAAAAATAGACGGAGAATAATCTTGGTCTGAAGAGCTGATAGAGTCATATAGATAGAGACCAAGAGAGTGAGACTTTTTTTTTATAACAGAGAGGGAGAGAGATTGAGGAAGGATAGGAAGCAGAGGAAAAAATTTAAAAATTTGTTCCTATAGTTGTGTGCCGAGAAAGAGAGAGAATAAGGGAGTGATTAGAGAGATGTGGATGAAGGAAAAGAGAAAAGAAAGCGATAAAGTCTAAAGCATTTAAGCATGGTCCGTGAATTGTTCTGTATCGCACGGTTCAATCACGAAATAATAGTATCTAACATTAAATTGGTATGCGGTATTTAATGATACTATCGATTGAAATACGATTAAATCACGATTTTAGTGTAAAATACCCTATCACTGACTTTTCCGGTACGATTTCATGGACATAGAAGTGAGAAAAGAGATTGGTATCAGATGCTTTGGTTGTCGATGTCATTAATTTTTTATCATATTTTTATTACTTTTTTAAGATGATATATATAAAACTGTTAAACTATAACTTATGATATTATTATATTAAATGGTTCTTTTATAAATTATATAGCTGGTGGCTATAAGTT